ACACCCCCCCCCCCCCCCCCCCCCATATTAGCAAAATATCCACACAGCAGCACCTAAGAACCATCTCTGCTCATATATGAAGCATTGCAAGATGGGCTTTTTTTCAGATAGAACATCACTGAAGATAACAGAAGTTACCCACAAGCAGAGAATTTGGTCCTCACTTTCTGTATCTGGTTAATCCAAGTTTTGTTCTCATTTTACACACTTTACCTTTGCAATAAAAATGCCAGCATCCATAATGGCTTTGATATGCTTCAGCCAGCCAGAATTTTCTAGGCCCCACAGAAAGTCACTCATTGAAGGCGATTTCAGCTCACAAACTGCAAAATAAGCTACATCTTAAATGTACAGCAATTATAGTCCCTTAAGCTTTCACTGACTGTTCAACCTAAGAGTTATCCCTTCAGATATCCCCTGCATAAAATACCCATCTTTTGAAAAGAATGTCGACTTCACAGTCAAACTTTAACGTTGAAAAAAAGTGTATGTTTGAGAAATGGGGCTGGGTCAAATTTCACCCAATATGTTGATTTAAGTTAAAAAGAGAAGCTGTTACAAAGCCTGTTGCAAACAGTTTACCAAATACATCCTTCTGTGCAGCACAGATTTTCCAAAATTGTGTTGGGAGTGAAGTTTTCAAACCCCTGAAAGGGGATCTTCTATTTAATACTTAGGGCTTGGAAACAGAAAGCATAGCATTTCTGCTGTCGGACGGGCAGCCAGCCACCCGAATTGTGCTACAGCCTCCTATTCCCAGCTACATTTGGTGATGAAGCTCTGTAAGAGCAGGCCCACCACACCCAGCCTTCAGCATCACCACAGGTGATGGTGTTTGAGATAAAGCAATTCACTCAGCAGTTCTCTGTCCCTGAAAGAAACCTTATTAAAGCTTCACTTGTAGAAAGTATTCTGACGGTGAGGAAAAGCCATAATTCATCAACGCCAATATTTTCCTGAAAACTTTCCAAGCTCTATGCCATCTTTAAAGAAAAAAAAAAAAAAAACGCCCAGTTTTTACAACACTAAGTTTCTATCCTGCCGTATCCAAGTGTCTATTTTTTAGTATTACAGAGTTTGTGGCATCAGAATAAAAACCAGGCAATAGGAATCTAATTCAGGTACCTCAGTCCAGCAGCAAACAAATATTCAACAATATTTGGTGCGATCTATTTTCAAGAGTGAGATACTAAATTCACCACATAAATAGATTACACATTTATTTTGATCCATGTAGAATTATACTGTCTTTTAAGGAAAAAGATATCAACCAGTGAAACATATTTAAGGAATACAGGGAAAAACATCATGGTTTTTACTGAGTTAGTGTATGATCTGTGAATTAATAATGTCTTAGTAGGTCTCTTGTCCTCTGGAAATTTTCTAAAAGACTCAGTTAATTATGGCCTTTATGACCAGTGGCAAAACTTTAGCTTCCTTCAATGTAATTGGAATTTAATTTTACAGGCTGATGTCAGAGTTTGTACCACATGTGAATGTATCCAACTCTCTTAACTCCATTTAATTCAGAGGCAAAATAGCCTAATGTGTCCATACAAAGTCTTGCAAGTCTAGGGCCTCTTCCAGATGGTTATTTTAAAAGTCATTTTTGAAGGATATTTATAAAAATGCATCAATAGGAGCACTGAAAACAAACAGCTTTTCACATGATTAATGCTCCTGTGCAGATGGAAGCATGACCAATTAGTAGCTGAATTCTGGCTGAAGCTGCTGTCTCTGTTTACAAAGGCCCAAGGTAATTCTGAAATAGTGCTTTGCTCATTCCCACTAACAAATTACAGTCAATATTTACCAGCCACTTCACTGAGCAAAGTTCAGACCGTCCTAAAGGCATAGACTGTATATTTCACATGATTTTGGCTACCAATCTGGACCTTTAATACTGAGTTCAATTACAAATTCAATTATGACACTTATCCTAAGGGGAAAGGTGTTTCCCTCTCAGCTGAAAAGGTACCAAAATCTTGCAGAAATAAGACCTGCTGCACACACTGCATGGGCACAGGAAAATCAAGAGCCCCTGGGCAGACCTTGTAGCAAGCCAGCGGTGCTCCCTTCCCCAGGAGGGGAGGAAGAAAGAGGACACATGGTGGAAACTGCCTTTTCCACCAGCAAAAGTACCAGAGGGGGGTGCTGGGCAAGTTCTCCCATTTCTGGCTGCACGGCCATAGGTAGGGGAAGGAGTAAATGCTGTGGGCCAAACCCTCAGGCTCTCTTTCTGGCTGATCTGTCATTGAAATCCAAGGATCAGAGGGCTGCTCTTACATCAGCAACTACTGCTCCTGGTATGGGGGGAGGAGAAGCTCATATATGCTGTTTAAATACAGACAGGGAGCATGTGGGGTCATCATCTCAATGCACAACAAATGGGGGTCAAGTCTTGGTTGGCCCCCAGATGTACGGCAAAGCTCACCCCATCACAAATGCCAAAGAGCAGCCTCAGTCAGCCCTTGAATCTTTACCGAGGAAGGTCCTTGTGCAACGTTTCCTTCTAATATTAAAAATTATTTCAAGGAGGTTGTGCACAGGATGAAAATAATTACAAGGATCTTCACATATACCTCTCTTTAAATGAAAAAAAAAAAAAAAAATCAATACTATACTAAAGCGATATGAGGCAGCAGAGACAAAAGTAAAACTTTTCTTTTTCCCCTGGAAGGAAATTCCAGCATGTTGAAATACATTTTACTTCTGGAGTACAGTCAAATCTCAGCATTTTTTGCATATTCTGAAAAAAAAAATCTCATTATCCTACAGATTTAATCATTTTATAATGCTGATATATTTTGCCAAAAATTAAGATTATACAAGAGTAAATACATGTTAAAGTTAAGATGAATAAAATAGCTAGAATTAAAGTCAGTAAAATCACAAAGCTGACACCAATTTTTTTTACCTACTCAAATTATTGACATTATTATAAGCATAAATTAATTTCTTCAGCTTTTTCCTAAAGAAACATCATTGAAATGAACACATTCCTAATATAAGAGCATTTTCCAATGGAAAACTGAATAATCAATTTTTGTTCAAATTTCCTCAGCATTGGAACTTATTTAAAATTCTATATTGAACATAATCTGCAGTCTCTCATATGAAAAAAATCCTCCAAACCTTCACTTCTGCTTAATTCCAGTAAGTTGAATAACGTTGCCCTTGCACTCCTGCAACACATCAGACCCATTATGTCTTGATGTTCTCTATTCCATGCTGTACACTTCCAGGCAACAATGCAGCACACATTAAACTAAAATCAGTTTTCATCAGCCTCATTTGTCTTTTCAAAGGTTTTTATGTACCTTATAACATCTCACAACAGATCACAAGCAGCAGACATATTTTATAATGTTTGTAGCATAACATGATGTTTTACCTTAGGGATTCACCTAGGTATGTTTAAGTACTCCTTGATAAAAATGTAAAGCCATATTAAATGTATGTTGTCGTCGTCCTTGACAGCCTTTTTGATTCTGGGTCCCTTTGTATGCGCAAGTCAGGTAATAAATACTCTTTCAAAGGCCACCAGAGAAACTGATGAAGGGACACTGATACAAATGCAAAAAGAGAAAAGCTATGCAGCACCTTACATGAGAAAAGCCCTGCTTGTACACTGGAAGTCATAAGATTGTAAAAAAAAAAAAAAAAAAAAAAAAAGGTACTTGAAAGCCTTAAGTGCTTGAAATCGTGGATTTAACTTCTCTAATTTCTAATCTTATCAGTCAGACTGCTAAATATGAGATTTCAACATAGCAAATATAAAACCTATGGAAAAGCAGATGTTTTGAGTATATGACTCATTTAAAAATAGGTGCTAGGAAGTTATGTCCCTCAAGCAGCCTGAAGTGTTGAATGGATCAGAAATACCTTGTTATATGTCAGTTTGGGCCATGGGCCTGTCTCACGAACTTTTGGCTCAAAAATAATACACAGCACTGTCCCATGCAGCCAGGCTGGTTGTTTACTATTTTAACTCTGATGGTCTTAAGCTGAACAAATAAAGGGACAGGTTTATTCGCCTGGCCTCTCTCCTAGCCAAACAAGACTTTGTAGTGAACTAAAAATCCTTCTATTTTCCTTCCTGAGACCTTTAGAGCAAGGAATTAAGTAAAAATACGTCATGAAGAGAGTGACTGTTTTACCTGCATCACACTTTACTGCTGGCTTTCATAAACTGCTCTTATTTGAAAACAGAGCACAGCTCTCCTGTCATGGAAAATGCAAGCCCTTCTTAGATCTGACACATTTGGATACAGACGATGGGAGACAGATGAAGAATGAAAGAGCACGGGCAGAGCGTCAAGTCAAGAATAGCTACATCAAGCTGATGCAGGAGGTGACAGAAGGTGTCGATGATATACATGAAGTAAATACTGAGACTCTGTGGAGTGGAGTGAGCACTATTTACTATTTGCTTGTTAAAAATCAACAAGCCGTTGCGGGTCAAGGACAGCTTATTTATTCTTACCCTTTTCCCAGAAGGCCTCTAAACAGTAATGTACTCCAAATATTAAATGGCAGTACAGATGTGCTCGTTTATACCCTATAAGTATTTATAAAGCAATTATTACTAATTTCTATGGGATTATGAAGGTGCTGAATGGTTACTCCCATTGACTCTGACTTTCATAAATCTGATGTGACATGCTCTATACAGGGCACGAGTGTCTATTAAAATTCACAGCCTAAAATGCATGACTACCTTATTGACCACATACAAAAATCAAAACATAGGTTTTCTGAGCTTAAAATAAAATTCCTGTATTTTCCACTAGCATCAAAGTCAGCTATAAGTGACTTTTTTCATTATACCATCAAACTGTAAACCACAAAAGAAGATGCAGTAAAAGTACAGTGTATTGAAGTCAAATTAATTTTGTCATTAAAGTAAACGATATCTGGATTTCACCCACGAAACAAGGTGTTAGGACAATTAGGAAATCACCATTAGTTGCAATGATGCTCCATTGCACGAGTCCCATTAGCCAGTAGGCAGCTGCATGCAGCACACCAGGCAAAGGTCTCTTTTCATACCCGTTTTCACTGCTGCTGATTTCAGAGCATCTATGCTGATTTGTGTGACAGAAGGATCAAATATTTCCTCTAGTTTTTAATAAAGAAGAGTATTACCTTCAAGCATTTTCTGCAGACTATTTCTCATGACATGGATATTCTCAATGCCTATGAATTGAAACTTGATGTTGGAGTAGTTGTCTTCATTTTCATATCCCTTCCCTGCTGCTCTGTTTGCCATTGCATTAAGCTGAAAAAATTAGGGAAAATTGGATGAAAACCAGTAGCAAACAGATTCTTTTCAAAACAAAGCTCGTGGTCTACTGCAATAAATCAGCGTGATTTAAATCAGGCACAAATAGGAAGCATTTATCACAGTGTCAACGCAAGGGGTTAGGAATCAGGGATCTGTTTACGGCCTATTGCAGGGTGCTGGGTTGCTGAGGCTCTGACCTCTACTTCACACACTTGGAGTGAAACTTCATTAGTGAGGTTAGACACAGAAAAACACAGCTTATGTAGGGCTCCTCTGCAAGAGCATAAAGGTTTTAATTTGTTTTTAAAAGGCTATTCTGATTTTATTTTTGATCAGCATTATGTTTACTGGCAGAATATACCCAGTGTCTTATCTGCCATGCCACTGTTTCATAGCATATGTACACGGTAATGTTGCCCAAATTACTGTGTTTTACTGCTCAAATAATCCAAAAGTTGATACAGCTTACTTCTTTGAAGCTTGGAATAAGAGAGAGGTGGAGTAGTTTTTCCTGAGTTGTTAATATCTTGGCTCTAGTTGTATAAGACCACAAAAGATTTAAATTGAAAAAATGACCACAAATATTTTCATCTGCAATGCAGCACTATCAAATATTTTGCTGTGCTTCAGCAAAAAATACATTCAACTGGAAACTGGAGTTTTGTCTTTGAATCTGTCACTTGCTTCCTGGCATGGGAAAGTCACTAAATGCTTCTTTAGTTCAGTTTTCCCAAGCGTAAAATTAAGGGGGTTTTTAATGCTTATTTTCCCTCCTTTTGAGATTCTTGGGGGAAAAGAAAACTATCTGCCAAGCCCCTTATGCCAAATGCTGATCTGTGGACTGAAAACTGGAGCTGATAGAAATGAATTAAGTACTTTTACTTTATTACCCCTTTTTTTTTTTTCTTAATTTTCTATAGCAAAATATCACTGTCCAAAAGAAGGAAATTGCCTTTTTGCATGAAGACCCTCCTCTTCTATGAAATGCACACTGTAAGGCTGGGGAGCCTTTGAACTTCCCAAGAAATAAGAAGGCTCCAGGAGTAACAAAGCAGCCCACGTGGCAGAACCTCCATGCCTCCAAGGACAGCTAACACCTTCTGCTCAGGGAAGATTTAAGAATTAAATAACAATGGATATTGCACATCCAGACTGGAGGGCACTAACAAAGCTTTTGGAGAGACCTTATGAGGTATCAGTTGGACAAAAAATGGCTCGTCTTCATTGCAGTGAGAGCCAATGCTCATGAAAAATCAAATCAAGTATCTTGTAGGCAGTGCCTAGGGGAGAAGAGGCTATGCAGATAACTCCATTTCCAGTTTATTTCCCAATACCTCAGGCAGTACTATTGATTTGCTGCTTCTGTTGTCACTTCCAAAACTCGCAATAACATACTTCAGTATTCGGCTAATGGAATCATGGGATATACAAGAATGTGTCTCTTCCTAATTTCTTCCACCCCAAACACACATACTCCTGATACTCAATTTTAATTTGGAGCCAAATGCATGTAATTGAGTAGGACTGATTGTCTGCCGCCAACTTATCTCCAACTAAGGTGAACAAGTCTAGCTTTTTTACATCATATTTCAAAATAGGTTTCCATGGACCAAATTTGACCTCTTAACTTTCAAAGGAAACAGCTAAAGACTAAAAGCTTTTTATGCCATTATAATTTCATTTTAGATACATAAGCAAACAGACAGGTGAGACTGCTTTTCAATTCTTTCATTCTGTCCAATGTAATATGTGAAGATAGGGGATTTTTTCCCATCTTCACAGTTCCTAGCACATCCATTCCCATGAGCAGAACTTGGCAATAGGAATACATAGTTACATTAGCGGACCACCATTAGGAATTGAAACATTGCATGAATTTCATGATACAACAGAAGGAACCATACTCTAAGACAGGAACCTAGGCAAAACCACAGCATTTTTCAATTACTCAAGTCTTGTGTAAAACTTCTTTTAACTTGTAGCATGCAATTCAGGAAAAAGTGCAGGCAAAAAAAAAAAATTCTTGCCTATCAAGCAGCAGTCTGCTGATGTTCTGACTATCAATGAATAACAAAAAAAAAAAAAGATACAGCCTGTGAACAGCATGTCCTTTAAGGACAGAGTCCTCAGTGGGACTTGCTGGAAAGATATAAATTATCTGCTGAATCCTAATCTTTCTCTTTTGAAGTAGACATCAGTGTTCTAATATAAACAAAATGAAGCAGTCTCTTTCTGCAACAGCATATAGCTTCAGGAAGAAAGATCTGTGCATATGAGTCTAAGCCACCACAAACCCCTGCAACTCTAAATGAAAAACATCTAGCCCCTAATTGACCTAATCCTCAGTACAATAAATGCTATTAACTGTCTCTGCCGCAGAGCAATTTTATCAGAGAAATCCTTCATTAAGACAGTCTGAAATAGCCCTCTTAAAAGCAAATAAATATAAGGTTAAATTTGCAACGCTTTCTGACACTCATTTATTTTAAATATTGTCAGTTGCCAAACTTTGCAGCTGCCACAATATTTACTAACAAGTTTTCCACATCACCTACCAAAATTCCATCTGTTGCTCTTAAAGTAGTTGTTGCAAAGCTCTCTAAATTGTGCCTGTCCTCGCTTAATCTCAGTGAATATGAGGAGACAACCTCTAAAGGGAACAGAGCTCACTTGCCAGATTTCCTGGCATCTTCTTTAAAGTGGAGAATAACTGAGTCCTCTCTTGTTATAAAGAGTCATAGAACTAATTTGTTTGACTCATAAGCAGTAAGTTTATATTAGCTTTTTCTGTAAACACATAGAGGAAGGAGAAAATTAAGAATGACAGCAGCCTAAGTAAAGCTCTGCATATGGTCATCCTGGTATATTTAAATGAAATGGAAAAAAGCTTTCTTCCGTGGACAAACCTTTTGTTTTGAAGATTTTCAAGCGCAATGAGGGACAGCATATGAAGAACTCTTGGAATGCTGAATTCACTGGCCCATGAATATTCATCGTCTTTGTAAGGAACCAGTTCTGATGAGAGTAGAGGCAGGTAGTTTTTTATCTTCCTAGAGCAATGGGAAACCTTGCAGCAGACTTGATAACTTACCTTTACATTTGCTAAAGGTTCCCTGAGGAATGCCAGGAACAGCTTCCACTGATTTCTATCACTTCCTAAATGCTCTAGATTTATACATGCATTGGGAGCTGCAAAATTAATTGTAACAGCTTTAACAAGGCTGTATTTGGCACCTGGAACCACAGGAGCTTTAGAAAATCAGTCTACTCTTGCAGCACAGAGAGACATAAGTAGGAATCTGTGCATGCACATTTCTTCACATCAAAACCTTTTTTTTTCCCCAGAGAAGTTCAGTGAAAACAAACAGTTTTCATCTGCTGACTGGCTCCTGAAGAAGCCAGCATTGCTGGAAATACGCCGTCGTTCATGACTGAGCGAGCCAATTCGACTCTCTTCACTTAAAGTACAGGCTTTTTTCACTGCACACAGGAGGTGTCTCACCAAAGTCATTTATGAGAAAATTTTACAGGTTGGGACCTTCCTGTTACTGCCTTGCAAAACATCATTAATAGCCAAGTCAGTAAGTGTCTAGTAATAAATCCCATCAATGAGCAACCTCCTTAATTAGGGAAGAGTACCAGCATCATCAGCCAGGAAATGCTACGCCATAAATATTATCACATACAGAAAACTGTTAAACAAGCATTATTTAGGCAGCCAGATCTGTACTTTCTATCCAAAGCCTGCTATGAACACAGTCATACCAATCCTTTCCTAGTGCTCATCGCGATTCATTTTCTTCAGGACCATGAGTAAGGTGGTACGATCCTCGTCTTCCCAGTAAAAAAAGAGGGAATTGAAGGTCAAAGTAGTCACAAAATTACAAAGTGCAATGACACATCCCAAGGCCCTGATTTTCTGGCTGCTGCCTCCTATTACAGCTGTGAGCACTCAGCACTTTCCCACCAGCCCCCAGGACTTCAGTGAATTGTCAGCCAGACAGGTTCCTCGTTTCTGCTCCAGCTCTGCCAGCTTTGCCCTTCCTCACTCCATTCCTCATGTTTCTCAGCTTTAGCCACCTTGCCCTTTCATGCTCTGTCTCCTGATCTCAGGCTGCTGAAACAGCTTCCTTGTTCCTTTTCCTCAAGCCTTTGCTCTCATTTTTCCTTTCCCCCTGCTATATAGGTCATCCTATATCTACTAGGGATTTTGTGGAGATTTGCCCCTTTTGTTTCTTTTCCTTCACATGCTTTGGTATCTTCAGCAGGGAAGCTACTGATAGTGTAAGAAAGAACATATCCCTGCTCCCACCTCCAGGCACTGAAGCCTATCTAGTCCTCATCACCTTGAGCTGTTTGCTGGCATGCCAACTTTGGACACAAGTTTTGTTAGCTTTCATCCTCTTCTAGGTCATTACTGAGTTTCCGTGTTTCTGCACAGCGTAATTTTTCTAAAGTTTTTACCTTGGCTAAAGATTACAGTCAATTATAGAGATATGATGTCTGAGATCACTATTTACCATATTTCAGATTCTGTCTCAAAAACACAGAAGTGCTGGAGATACTCAAAGAAGGTCTCCTCAATTCTTGTAACCTGAGTAAATGGTCCTTCCTTAGCCTCATGCACAGGTTGTTGAAATTTTCCCACTTGCAAGAGAAAACTTGCACAGAAAATTTTAGTATAAGTAGGTAGAAGGCTGTAACATTACAGACAACTGTAAATAGAGTTTTATAATGGGAATTATTTTTCACTAGCCTCATCAGTAATATAGTTAGTGATAGCTCCTCTCTGTGTGGAAAGAATTACTATTCCAAGTTATTTATTTTTCTCTGTCTTAACATTTTGTTAAGAATAAAAAAGACAAAAGCTCAGTGTAAAGAAACAAATTGTCTGAGAGAGAAAAATGTGTGCAAGGTTTCTAGTTGAGATTCCCCTGATAAATTCTGATTTACCTGCGGAGTTACACAGATGCAACTAAGAGCAGAAGTATGGTCAATCATCTGGGCTGTGCATCTTCTCTAATGTATTCAGCCCAGATTCAGTCTTGCTATGTGCAAGAAATTTAATGTACTTACTTTGGGCCGAGTGTCAACAACGTATAAGAAATCACTTCCTGGATTTGCTTTTCTAATGGCCTGGAGCATCTGTTCATCCTCAAGGCATCGAGCACTAAAGCCAGATAAAGGCTGGCTGCTTCTACATATGGAAGCCTGCAGAAAAACAAAAAACAAACAAAATCAACATAGTTATTTAGTAGAAGTTATTTAGTATCCAGAAGCATTTGCAAAACCATTTCATTAGATGTTTGCATAGGTGTACAGTTACATGGGAAAGGCAGAATGGTAAGAAGAATTACATGTTAATAAACAAATTCATTTTAAAAAGGCAAGGAAATATTAAAACCATACAAACCTATTGGCCCAGGTCTAGTTTTGAATCCAAGTTTTAGAGCTATTTTAAATATAGCATTTCCCTAAAGTGGAATAACTCCTGAAATGTGGTCTCTAGAGGATGTGATGAGCACAACATTGCAATGAGAAGAATGCTGATATCACATAAAGAATGGGTCCTTTTGCACTGTCACTCACAGTTACCTGTTATGATACTGATGACACCCAACTTGCACCAATATATGCTTTACTAAACAGCCTGAGACACTATGAGTCCAGGAGACAAAAATACATAATATGCAGCTAGATCATGGTGGTGGTGTATTTTTAGCACTGCCTCTGGAGAAAGACCTTACTGCATGGGAAGTGGGTCAGGCAGCCTGACTCCTGGAGTATATTAATCAGTGCTATTGAAGAAGGTAAGAGAGTTTCTCCACAGACCCATCAGGATCAGCCCTCCAGGTGAAACTCGGAAAAAAGGAACAGAATGTGAAATGGGTGAGCAGGGAGGTTTTTATTTCTGCTAGGCAGAGGGCAGCTAGATTTGTAGAGGGCAAGGGGCTAATACGTGCACTTTCTAACTACTGAAAATAAGCATGAAGAGAATCTTCCTGCTGAAGGTCGCGACCCGTGCAGACTGCCCTATAGATTATTTATTACTGTGAGAAGGGACATGCTCATTTTCAGCCAAGTCTTTGAACTATCAGTAGTTAGTAAAACATGGATCTTTAATACAGAAAACCTGAATTGTGTGAGAGCCTGTTCATACTTTATTAGTAGTTTTTGCAAACATTAGTTGTTATTAGTTACCTAGAGTCTTGCCTGCTGATCAGCACACATTCCAGTGATTTAATATATGCTTACACCTCCTTTGCATGAAGCAAAAGGTACGTATGAATATGTCTACAACCTGTCATTTTAACAGAAGGAAGACATTTCCCTCTCATTCATAGAGTACCATACAAAAGGCAGATATGGCCCTCAATAGTACGGTTAAAGGTTGTGGATGAAGGTTAGGATTCAGGAAAGTATGGGCTGGAACCCATTATGTTATATCATCCTGGGGGCCCAAAGGTCTAAGGTAGGCACTGGCACCAGTATGAGAGAATGGCTTGTCTGTCAAGTTAGGCTTGGGGTTAAGATCATGTTTAGCCCCACCTTAAGAAACAGCTACACTGCCAGTACTGCACAACGAGGAAGATAAGCTGACCTAGTGACCTTTAGATATCACAAGTTGGAATCATTACCCACGATATCCGTGAAGAGATCACCTCCTTCTGACCCAGGTTGACTGCTTAGGATGAGCACATATATCTATAAAATTTCTTGGGCTATGTTTAAGAGTAGGGCAAGAGATGAGGTCATATTTTGCTATTGCACAGGCTCAACCGATAGTCCCAGAGTTTGATCTTATCACATTCACACAGATCCTGTAAGACGCAGAGTAAGGTGTCACATCATCACTGAATTTGTCAGTAGCAGGGAGCTGGTTCTGGGTATGAAAGACTGAATGAGTGGCACCCATCTCCCCTGCATGCAGCAGACCTCTTCCCAACTTGCTGTTACCGTAGCTGTTCAATGTCTACCATCACAAATCTTGCCTCACTCCTGCCCACTACTCTATCAGCTGGTAACTAATGCCAACATCCAAACTCGCAAGGAGGTATTTCCTCCAACATTCCCAACCCTTTTCCTAGCCCTTTGAACCATGAAAGATCCAGGAGTAAACACAATACTTCAGATCCTGGTGGTTTGAACCTTAACCTCAACTCCAACCACAACAGGGAAAACATTCAGACTGAAACCATGAAACTCATCCAAACTGTATCAGTAAGTATGGGAATCTAGCTGATCCCAGAGACCTTTTCTTTCACTGAGATCTGGAAATGTCCAAGTGTTTTGAATCCTAGATATCTGTATTTGGACTTAGTTGATTATGCAAAGTGATTAATTTTGAAAATTTTGGCCCTAATGAAGTATTAAAGATATGTAATTTATGCAGAGACTGTATTACTATTTAAATCTTCCTATCCTCCTGTTTTGTTGTCAAATTCATAGATGTTTATGGAAGCAGAATTCTGATGAAATAAGGGATAAAGGAGTCAAAATAATGTCTCATTCCTTCCTTCTGAAGCTTAAACCTATGATAGGCCCCCTGTAAAGATAAGATTTCCATGGAGACTGTAGCTTATAATTCCTGCTTGTGACATCCTACGGAAATATCTCCCATCCAGTGTGGCAAACACTACAGATGCCTTGTAATCCCACATGAGCTCTCTCTCTTGGGAAGTCCTGGCCATCTCCCATCACTAGGGAAGACCTCTCGATGCAGTTGCCAGTCTGGCACTGAAACAGAAGGAGATATTAGACACTCACACTTTTTGTGAGTACAAAGGGAACACCATCCTCCTAACTGGTAATGACAGCTGAGCTAAGCCAGTCCCTAGAGGGCTGGGATGCAAATGTAAAAAAACTCAGTCCATGGGATCTTGCAGTCCAAGGGTCTCCTTTACCTCAGCTGCCAGAAACAGAAATGCAAATAGTCTATGTACAGGGTTTTTTCCAAATGGTTACAGACAAGTGAGGCAGTTCCTCACTCAGCCCTGAGAACATCTGTCAAGGAGAGGAGAAGGCGGCACTCCTTGCTCGTACAGACAAGGAGAGTCTCTTCAACAAAGCCACGACATACTGCTCAGACAAAATTTGGTAGCTGTTTCAGCCATCCCTTTTGGATCTATTCACAGATCTTTTCTTCAGACACTACTCCTGATTCTGTAATTGTTGCAAGTATAGTTTTTCTTCCTCCTTGACTTGCTCTCAGACTGTGGCTACCAGAACCTAAATTCCTCTGTTCTCCTCGCAATCACCTGCTAAGCTGCCTGCTACTGGCCTTCACTCTTCTGCCACCCATGTTTCAGGACCTCTTGTACTACTCCACTTCCTTGTGATACAGGGATCACATTTTTTTTGTGTTAGCTGGATGATGAAGCTTGGTTTAAATGACTGCATTAAATGCCTATTAATGAACTAACCATAATTCCAGTGTGTGACCATATGTACAAAACAAAATTAACCAGACTACGCTAACCATCTTTTAATTTTTTTTTAAATAAACACTGACTTCTTCTTGTGAAAGCTTATGTTGTGGTTTAACCCAGCAGGCAGCTAAACACCACACAGCCGTTCACTCACTCACTGCTGAAAAGTCCTTGACTAGCGTAAGCATTACTTAGCAACAACTAAAACATCAGTGTGTTATCACATTATTCTCATATTAAATCCAAAACACAGCACTATGCCAGCTCCTCGGAAGAAAACTATCCCAGCTGAAACCAGGACAGCTTACTAGAAGAATTATGAAAGCAAGGCCAAAACAAGCAAACACTTCAAAGCTACGAAACGACACTTACATTGTTATCCTTGCAATAGTAGGAAAGAGCTGGGAAACGCCTTCGGCTCCGAAATTTAGAGCTCCCCACTATGATGTGTGCAGTCACAGACTTTGGTACATACACTTCCGTAGGATAGGAGTCACAGACCTGTGAACGGAAACTCGTTTATTTGGTCTACAAAATGCAACTAACATTAGCCATCTCCACAGCAAAAAACAAAATACCAAGGAACTCTAATCTCAGGGAGTATGCCATAATTATTGTATCCAAATCACTGACATTTCTCAGTCTTTTGAAGCTGGAAAGCATTAATTCTAACATACAGATGGCAAAACTGAAGCAGAAGTGTTGAAGGGCGGTATTTCTAAATGTTAATTCATGCCTCATTGAGAACAGACAGGTATAACATATATTCATGCCAGAAAAGATTCATCATTATCTATAGCAAGGTTGTATTTACAACTGCAGATTCCTCTGTAGCAGAATTTGGAAGTAAGGATGGGAGTGGGTGAAGTTCTCAAACACCCCTCCGTTATAATGGGAGGGGACTGTAGAGCCAAATTTCCCAGCAAATCTGATAATAATAATAATAAAAAAGACAATACAGGGACTTGGAGAAAAGAAATTAATCCTTATGAAATGAGGATACCAAAAGGCAAGCAGCTCTGACAATGCCTACCACTTCTGAAAGGAACCCAATGAGCCTGCAAAAAAGCCCAGAAGTTCCTCTGGAGACAAGTGGGACCACAAATGGGGTCCTGGTCTAACTTGCTTTTTCTGATACTGCCTGTGGCATTCTGGCTGGGGTCAAAAGGATATCCAGTATCTTCCTGGAACTTCCTGAGATGACTAAAAAGAATTAGGATGCCCAGGAAGAAATTACATTCTGAGAGAGCCAGAGATATATAATGAAGGAGAAAGAAAAAGAAGGGCTTGTGGTTACGGATGCTGCTGTGGTGAACTGAGTTTTATTCATGACGCCATTTTTCCTACACTTTATTTTAAAAGAGGTCAAACATTTTTTCTGCTTGTTTCAACAAAAAGAAAACAAACCCTGACGGCACATTCAGTCTTCTCTGAGAACTTCACAGGCCTTCCTTAACATGGATATACTCCTCCAGCCACAGAGCCAATCGTGTGCATGGACAAACCTCCTTCAAAAATACTTGGTTATTATTTCTCACAATTAATTAAAATTCTAGGGACTTCAATCGTACAGGACTGAACTAGGCAGGACAGCAGGCAGCTAGGAAGAGATATGACCTGTCGGATGACTGCAAAAAATACTGTCAATCACAGAGGCTTCAAAAGGATCGTGAGGATGGCCAGTGAGGAAAAAATATTGACAAATTCACTATTTCAAGTAATTTTTTTCCTTAAAATGACTGTGTAGTAATTTTATATAACCCTACATGTCAGGAAAATGCTCATTCAGACACATAACATTAGGTATGATTTAAACTTCTCCCCAGGCAGCCAAGTACTAATGTTTAAAACTTATCATGTACAAGTTTTCTGTGCCTAATTTCCATATATATTAAACAAAGACACATCCTTTCTATGTGCCTTTTTATGTGAAAGAATGGAAGACCTGCACCTTACCACATGTCTGTACAGCACTGAGCATAAAGGGATCCTGCATTTAAGCACTTCCGTAGTCCATAGTCAGACTGTTGATTCACTTTACACCCTCTGTAACAGAAAAATCACGACAACTCACTCCATAGTCTCTGTTCACATCGCTAATCTGCCAATAGTTGTTTGGAATACCCATCCGGTTATACTCTTCAATGAGGTCCACAAGCTTCCAGCCTTGTTCTCGTTCTTCTTTATCTAATTTTGGATTGAATGAGAAACAATACAGCTCTTCATATTTCACTGAAAAAAAATAAGCAACAAACAAACAGAGTAAAACACTTCAGATTTCTCATCCTGAAATCATACTTCAAAGCCAAAATTTGATATTGTCCTTTATGTAGTTTCTTTTTTAAAAGTATGCTTTGCTAGACAAAACCATATATCCTGGCTTATAACCATTTTCAAGTAAACTTTGAAAGTACTGTGCTATTTTGTTACTTATATGTTGCAATATATGTGCCTTATTAGTAATGCTGCTTAAAATACACTGTTCTGCTACACCTCTTCTCTGTTTGAATTGTAAAAGCCTGTCCCAGCACAAAGACAAAATGTCAGTGATAATATGCTTTCATCGGAAGAAAACTGAAGCACTTGCTCTGCAAAAGAATTTGCTGGCCAGAGGTAGCTTAGAAGTGCCTTTATTATCGTAACATCTGTCCTGTAGCAAAGACAAAAGCTCTGAACAATGGACTATGCAGCACAATCCTCCAAAAATGAACTAACTCGTAAATCTTTGTCCCTAAATAGGGAAATTTCCAATAGATTCAATGCAATTTTAGTTTTGTGGACTGCAAAATTCTGTCCTTGAATTATTAGCAAAGGCATTCATGATACAGACATTGCAATAGCATAAAAATAGCATATGTTACATCAATCATTTCATCATGACCATGAACTCGTTTAAGTAGCTATGCCACCTGTCACCCTCGGTCAAGGACCATATAATAAACTTTGTTGGTGCTGGAGTTTTTATCTTTTTTTAGGAGTATATGTGTATTTATGCTAATGAGTGTCTTAATCCTGGTGACCAATGGCAGCCAGACACCATTTCCATTAAATGCCAGCTATCACTGATATGAGTAACTATTTAGCATATAGCTTGAAATTAACATTCTCATTGATAATTAAGATATTGTTATGTCATGAGGACATGTTTCATCCTGTTGCTCTAAGTTCCTTAAAACTTTCTTACCAACAGAAATCTTTAACTTTAGAACTGAAGTAAAGTAAATCATAAGTTGAGTCCTCTCTGATTTCATAGTTCCCCATGGATACAGGTACTTCACAATATAATTTTAACAAGAATTAAATTAAATTAAAATACTACACTTTCTTTCCTAATAATCTATACCTAATAAACAGAGTCTTAAAAGACTGCAGTAAGGCACTTTTAAATATAAAAACAACAACAAAAAAACCGACTACAATATTAATAATAATAATAAGGCTTCCAGCTTTTTCAATAGAAAGTCTTTACTTTTATTTTGATTATGTCTTTTAAAGGTATAATTTAAGTATATTTAGCATTTTAAAATTTCAATTAAATTGATTGTATATACACACACACAAAAATATGAACATAAGGAAAGAAAACTTCATGTTAACTCTTGTCAGGAAAGTACTGAAAGGTAACAAAGTTGTGAGTAAGGAGAAAGAAAAGAGCGATTTGCACATTGTCTGACAGTTCAAACTCTTTCTGTGCTCTCTGATTTCAAACTTCTGTCATGGCACAGATTAGGAAAACAGTCTGGTTTATTTCTCATCTGATAATGTAAAGTTTTAGCATAATCCATAAATCCAATTTGAGCTCATTTTGAACTCTTGTTTTTACTGCTTTGTTGTCAGAAGCATCTGGATTTTCTTTCCAGTGGGACCTGCGGTTCACAGGCACATGGGAAGCTTTTAAAAATCCACTTATTAAAATATATCCAGGTTATTTATGACAGAAGTTTGACTCAACTTTACAAGTATTATTACAGGATGGTATCTATTGGTGGTAACAAAAATGTTGAAGTATTAATAGTCAGCACCTTAAAGCTCAGTTATCAGCTCTTCTCCAGCACTTCTAGGACCTTCCCTAATCTTTCACAGTTATTTTGCCATAAGCGTCTGCAATCCCGCTATTCCACCTGTAATAACTGTTATGGCCAGCTTATTTCACAAAATGGGTTAATTAAGCAAAAAGACCAAATTCAGCTGACAGCTTGACCTTACTAAAATGCTATTAACAGCTGGCAAGAATAAAATCAAACACAAATTTGCTCCTTTAGTGTAACTAGGACATCAGATAACATAGAATATATTAAGCCAGTACCCAAGATGGGCTTCACTCAGGTTTGGCTATGGTGGGATGAATGGCAGAGAATGAAAAATAGAGCCTGAATGAGTTAAATTTTCTCCTCATGGAGTAAAGGGTACCTTATAATGCTGAGTATTACCTTACGAAGGTATAGCTTTGTGCTCAGACAAAAAGACACAGCAGAGCTCTGCCAGCACACATTTGGCTCAACTTGCAATTGGAGCTTTCTAATTTTAAGTAAGCAAGATTTTATCCTGCCTCTCATGAAGATCGGCTATTTTGCTGGAGAAGGAAAACTACTGTGCAGCTGAACTATGCAAAGAGCTAATTCTGTGGTGCTCCTATTGCATCTTCTTCATTCAAACCTTCTTGTCCATTGCAGTCTGCCACCATTCTCTTCATCACTCTGTGTGCCCATATCAAAGCATCCTGTCCTGGTGCCTAGTCCTGGTGCCTAGCAGTATGCACACCTCCTCCTGGCTTCAAGGAAAGAGCATTACAGAATCATATTCCTTCCAGAATGCATGAACACACTGACTGAATTTGCCTCATTGGTTTTAAATTTCTCTGATTACTTTCACCTTGCATCACTTAGCATACCAAATTATATCTGCTGCAGTTGCATATTGCTACTACTACTACTATCCTAACTATAGAAGATACTTTATAAAGTTCAGTAGCTGTGCTGGCTGACTGTGCAATTTTCCCCCCCTCTACATGTAGATCATAGAATAGAATCATAGTATCATTTAAGTTGGAAAAAACCTTTAAGATCATCAAGTCCAACTGTAAACCTAACACTGCCAAGTCCACAATAAGATAAAATTGGTCTTCTCCTAACAAGATAAAAATTAAAGCCAGCGTTGTCAGTTTTGTACAGACTGTGGTAACCATTTTCTTTGCATGCTGTCAAAATAATAGTAAAGGACAGAGGTTGGTGTTGTATTTCTACAGCTATCATTTAAAACAAACAATCCAGAAGCTTTGTCAGCTGGTTCTTAGGAGAGCAGCTATAACACAGAGGATCAGATGTTGGACTTTGCTGTAACATTTGGATTTTCATTGAAAAAAGGACAGGTTTCAAAAGGAATTTGATGTGAATACAGAAATTCAAAAAGGACACCTTCAAAACCTAGGTAATAATAGGCACAGGCAGTCTGGTGGAATAAATCAACTACTTGTTACAAAAGCTTTCACTGATTTTAAGAAATTTATGCACAGCACAGAAAGGGAAAATTGAGACCTTGACATGACCACTAATTATATCGTAAGTTTTTCAGGAATATGAAAATTCCCTGGATTCAGAGACTTGACAGTGTTTTCCTAAATTCACACTTACACAAGGCATCCAGTAAACAACAGTTACACATAAAATAGTATTATAATGTTTTTATGGCCAGTGATAGCCTAGAGTATAATTTTCAACAAAAGTTCATGACATACTTCATGGAACAAACTACTTGTCATAATGTGCTTCCTTCATTGCTCCATAAGCGATTATTTTAATATGTTCATCTGCTCAGAGACCTTTTCTCTCATAACACATCTCTAATGAAGCCTTTTTTCTTAAACTGCAAAGTGCAAAGATGCACAGCGACATTTCTTCCATTATATTCTCCTTCTTCAGGATGAGGATTGACTTTTATGCCAGTGTCCTTCTCATACCTGGTCGTGCCAGACGTATCAGAGATATGTAAACATCATGGCAGTCTCGTTCCTGAGGGATGACCAGCTGGATAACCTGGAAGTTCTTGCAGCGGATCAGCAATGGGCAACCAGTGGCAGTGGTGGCCTGCTTCTCAATAGAGGAAATTTGGCTGTGAAGAACCTACAAGGGAATTGAAAACAGTTATGCCAAGTGATTCAAATCTTTAGGAAGAAAAATAATTATTTATAATGATGTGCCAGGGAAGGCACAGTAGCTTCCACTAGAGTTTCAGAAAATCCTCACACTCCTGATACATCACCTACAGACAAAGAAGTGCTTCTGGAGTGTTTCAGCTGCTCAAACGTTAGCCTGGTCATGCTATCCAAAACTTTTTGTTTGTTTGCTTTAAAGTAAGCTAACGATTGTCAGAAAAGGAGCTCTTTTCATCTATTTGTACAATGAAAAGATGAACCAACATTGCTTAGATAAGGGTAAAATGTTGGGCCTCCTCGCTGGCAGAATGGTAGTCCTGATATAATTGTAAATAGTGCGTCAGATGAAATGAAACATTACAATAAGAATCAGGAGGGGGACAGTGGGACCAAAGAGGACAGAGTTAATAATTAGTACAAAACTGGACAAAGGATTCATAACTAGGCTACTTAAAGACTCTCAAATGGTATGACACCAGAGCTAGATCTGTACCTATAAATACACATACAACATATGCTATTGATCCATCAAAATAGATATCTCAAAATACTACATTATGGGGAAAAAGAAAGTCATTCACATTTGAAGCATTTCTCCTCAGTTCTTCTTGGATGATAGGAGCAACCCTGTCATTTACAGCAGCTATTCCTCAGTCAATGACTTCTGGTATTCATAAGGTGAAGGTCCCTCTACTCCTCTTACTGTGTTCCAATATCCAGAATCCATTTAAAATTTTCAAAAATTACCAGGCTGGAATTTCACATGCTCTGAAGTCATAAAAGCATCCATATGAACTAATTCACTATATTTAAACTGTTTTGCAGGTTATTTTCAAATCACCATCAATAAAGTGCCATGCACTTACAGCTAACTGAAAAAAACAAAAATTCATACCCAGGTTTCTTTGCGAGTTTCAGAAACATTCTCCACAAATATGACATGGGTAGCTGTTAAATACAAGGTTCCCAGTGCAGCTTTTCTCGAAGATAAACGATCAAGTAACCGAACATTTTCCACCTATACAAAGAAATGACAGAGGAAAAAAAAAAGAAATAATTAGGCTATGGCATAGCCTGCCATAGTGACACCTCAGCATCCACATTTCGTCCATTACAAACAAAGTAAGTTCTTTTCAGTACCATATGAAATGACCATCAGAAGAGTATAACTATTTGAGAAAATATGGTTATATTATGTGATCTATTTCCAGATCTACCTTAATGTTAATTTTGCCCCCTCTTGCGGTACCTCTGTATCCAAAAATCTGTTAGCAAAGACTTCCAAAGACAATTTCTCACTTGAGCTCTTTCCTGTTATCTCACCTTACCACTTGAGCTCCCAGGCAAGTCTCTGTTGATAGTTCAAAAAATGTTTCAGTGTTTGTCCCTATGCTGTTATTAAGGCTGCCTAATTAAGCAGTTGTCACACCAGAAAATTTTGCCTTCACTCACTTTTCAAGGGGAATCAAGGACTTAACACCCACTGCCCTGCCTCATTGGACACAAAATGGGGGTTCTCTCTTTGCTATACTCCTGATAATAGGTGAGCCCATAGCACGTTATTAACTCTCAGATAAGCAGCTTGTGGCTTGTACACCATTATTATTTCATATATGGCATGTGTCATAGGCATTTACCTGATGTTATATGGCATTTCTGACTGAGAAACTAGAACAATAAAAAAATCAACAAGGTGGATATTAAATGGGATAAAAACTCCCTAAAACAGTTAACAATTTGCTACCATGATTTTGATAGGTTTCCTACTACAACAATTTTAAAACTAAAATTAGTTGTTTTTCCTAAAAACATATGTAGCTCAAACAATTTAAACCGAGGAATGCTGATGGTCAATATCATATAGCTTGTAGTGTATCATCAAATGGTCTCTTCTGGTTTTATAATGTTGGAATTGTACCAGAACATGTGTTTTTCATGCAAGAAGCTGCAGCACAGATCTATGCAGCCTGCCCACTGCTGCAAAAAATCTTCAACAAACTGGCTAATCTTCTCTATATCTTTTCTTCAACTCTTCACTCAAGACTTACAATTTCTTTTACACACCTAGTTATTTTCAGGCCTTGAGGCTGGTAACTGTTGAAAAGATATGTCCCCATTAAAATCAAAAGGGACTAGTCTTGTGTTTGAAGTACAGAAGCTGACTTAAATGTTGTTCCAAGAAAATGGAGGAGGGGAAAAAAAGAAAGAACAAAGTTAAAGAAGACCTTATCACTTTTGCATTGAAATAAATGTAATTTTGCACCAATTTCCTGAAAACCAGACAACAAATGCAAAGAAAAAGGAATAAGAGGATCAGCAAAATCAATTTGATTTTAATAATGCAGAGATTCCAGATTAGATTGACAGAAACTTCCCAAAATGCTCTCAGAGATGGGAGGTAGCCATGTATTCTCAAAATTTTGCAGAATGCCACTGAAATCACACCAGAAACAGAATGATGCCAGCACCTAAGAATTACATGTTTACAATGAGTAATCCAAATACATTGCACTATTTTAAAAATAGGTATAAAGAAGTCCTTAAAACCAAAATAAGCCAGTTTGGTAGAAAAATGCTTAAAATCAAACAATTAGTAAAACCAAGTCCTCTCCCTCAAGGCCAGTTATAATTGGCTTTAAACAAAAATAAAACAGCTAGAAAGCATGGATAAAGTGTTTTCCCAGGACCATCTAATTCAGAGGTCACGTATTGGGGTGAGGAGGAATGGACGAAACATAGCATTAACCCAGTAAGCAATCAGTAGTAAGCAAAAGAGAAGCTATAAAAGAGCAGGGATGATACAAAATGAAGATGTAGGCAGTCCTCAACTCTAAAAAGAACCCACAAATAACAACAACAACAACAAAGAGGTTTGTCTGGACAAAAAAGGTACCTACACTGCAGTCCAGCCAACGAGGACTCTGCTGTACATGCTCCGATCGTGCTGAAGGCAGTCATCGCCCCCAGATACCACCCTACAAACTGAGGTAGTTTAGGCCATGAAACACAAGCAAAGTAGACATCCACTTGGCTTGCTTTGAAACTGCCACCAAAGGCAGGAGCACCATGCTATTCAGTGAACAATTTTGTAAACAGGGAATGTCGTTCCTCATTTACTTTCTCTGTGCCACACAGGCTGTTACAGATCCTTCCCCCCATCCTCTCATTCCCAGGCTGAAGAGCCCAACTTTACATAGTTGTGACATTTATGGAAGCTATTCTAGACAAGCTCTTCCACATTTCTGATTATCCTACAAAGGGTCTATTTCTTGAGAAAAGGCCAAAAGTGCAAACAGAATTCAACATCTGGGTGTACAACAGGTTTGTGTAGTGGAACAGTGATGTTTGCTGGTTTGTTCTGTATTCAATTTTTAAATTTTTTTCAAACATTGCTTGCTTTTTTTGTTCTCTGCTGAATACAGTGAGGTTTTTATTTTTTATTTTTTAGAAATAGCAATTGTAACTCCAAGCCATGTCTGCATACATAAGTTAAGACCCTAACCCTAACCCTAACCCCTAACCCTAACCGTAACATTATCACTGATTAATTTTGTATGTGAGTATCATGAGACATTGCTGCAAACCCTTACAGCAATCTTTCATTTCTTCTACTCTGAATAATTCAAGTACTATTAGTGAACTTTGCCACCTCTGGCATCTCCTCCCCTCCCTGTATCTTTCAAAACATTTGTAAGTTGACCATCACAGGTTCTAACAGATTCGTCAGATCTCTAGTGATAAATTCCCTCCATTGCAAAAATGGACAATATATTCCTACTATTTGCTTCTTATTTTTTAACTAGTTATTACTGAGAGGGCCATATATTTTGTCCTATGATACTTCAGTTTCTTCAAGAGCCTTTGATGAAGGACATGCTCAAATGACTTTTGGAAGACCAACTAGCTTCTGTCAAATGGATCTCCCTCCTCCATATATTCAGTTACTTTTTCAAAGAAATTTTAGGGATTCTGGGTTCCTCTATGAAAGCTACGCCATTTCTTCCCCTTTTTATCATACTTATCCTTAAATCTAATGATTTAGAAGGAGGCCTAGGGAGTATTGCAGCTCTTACTAATTTTCTCAGATTAGGTGTCATATTTATTGCCTTCATTTTTTTCAGACCAAGAAAGTTTTAAGTATTACACCATTGTTACTGGCTTGACAATTTTGTACTCTAGTTCTTTTAACATGCATGGATACCATCTGGTCCTGGTAATTTTTTACTGTTCATTATTGCCAGTTTCTTCTGAAATCTCTTCTAATAATGCTTTTATTGGTGACAAATCTTCTGATATGTTCTTGACAGAGAAATATGCCAGAATGGGGATGCCCCTAAATACCTTCCCTACTTTGATCATTTAGTAGTCCTGTAGATGTTCTGTCAGGATTTCACCTACTTAAAGACAGCTTGGAAATGACTTTACTACCAGTTTTTGCCAAGTTGTTCTTCAAAATCTCTTTTGGCCTGCCTTATTTTGTTGATATATTTAACTTGTTTATTCTTTATTTTCCTCATTTAGGCACAACTTCAACTTGAAGAAAGCCCTTTTACTTCTAATAAAAGAAGTCCTTTTAATAAGAGACATCCTCTTACTCCTTCACCCTGCTGTTCTGCTATGCAAAACTTTTTTTGGTCTTTTAAAGCCTTTTTCTGGAAGTCAGCTTGCAGCAAGCTCCCATATTTAAACAATCTTCATGACTCCTGTAAACATTTTAATTTTTGGCTCTCTTTCTTTTTAAACAGTGTTCCCATATTTATGTAGTTTCCTCTTTGAAGTTAAACATTGGGAGATTTTTTTTCCGCCTTTTTTTTGCTATTTCTAGAATACTGCATCTAAGTATGTTAGCTGCTGTCACACAGAGGTTTTAGCTGCATTTTGAACCAGGTTTTTCTGTCACCGCTTAAGACCAGGTCCTAGAATTATTTAGAATTACTTAGAATTGCTTTCTTTTTTTTCCAAGATAAACAAATAGCCTCCATATATGCAATCATTTACAAAACCTAAAATTTTACTCAGAATCACCTCCCAGCCCATTTACGCAATCTCAATTTGGTAAATGATGTCTCCCATTGTTATTGCATTTCCCACCTTCATGCCTGTTTAATCTTGCCTAGGTTGTCACAGGCAATGCCACCATTTAGGTAGGACAGTAAGTACTACAGGCCTAATACCGTACCATGGTGCTATAGTTCTACTTTTCCTATTTAGTCTTGTAATTTCAACCTGTAGGGGCTCTTCGCTTTTGTGACAAAGTTAATCTATGAGAATTGACTCTTAAGTTTTCTTCAAGACAAAAAAATCTACTCTTTGACAGGCATGACTTTACCTGTCTTTCCCATGTAATTTGTCACTGATATTAGCCTGTCATGTTGATTATTTTTCTTCCACTAAGTTTTTAACATGCCTATTACATCAACATTCTCATTTATAACCAGTAACTCTAGTTTTGACATTTTTTCCAGACTTCTAATATTTGTACAGAAACACAGATATATTTGGTCCCATTGTCTGTTTCTTTGCTCTGGTTAAACAGAGCTCTTGGCAATTTCTATTTATTGGAGAATATTGAATTTTTCATACTGACAGAATTTTTTGTGACACAGCACCGCATCCAAAATGTCATATGTTTTCTGCATTCTAACAAGAGCTTCTCAGTTTTTCAGTACTTCAGTGTGGATAAGTACAACTCAGAATGAGCTCTCCTCTCAACAAGGAAAAAGTACTGTTTGTGAGACAGTGCATCAGACTGAATTTTTAGCTAGCCCTTATTTCTGCTGACCTCAAAGAGTACCGTAAGAGTCAGTTAAAATTAGTGAGAACCTCAAAATTTGGCTCAATAAAAATTAGCATGATTCATTGATTAACCTTGCCTCTTTCTCATGTGATATATGTCAATCTGTGATTGTAGTATGAGAAAAATAAAGCAGGTTTACTAATAATTGCCTCATGAACCACCTTATCATATCTAACATCATTTCCAAAAGAAAAGTGAAGGGCTTAAGTCTAAACTCTACC